TTTTCTGGTCAATTTGTTGAATAAGTTGTTAATTATGGATGGATCATTATGTGACATTAACATTATCTGAAATTGGTAAAGCTGAAGAGAGAGAGAGAGATAAAGACTTCAAGATAATTGAAGAGGAAGAGAGAAAGAGGTAGAGAGAGATATAAGTTGGCAGAGAGAGAGAAAGAGGAAGAGAGTTATATAGTTGGAAGAGATGAGTAAGAGAGAGAAGCAAGCTCTCATGAATCAGGAGTGCCATAACGAGACGGAAAAAAGAGACGAACAAAGCCATGCGGAAAGTCGGGATAGTTCAAAGAGATGATAAGAATGAAGTCGAACACCAAACAAGGAAGACGACGGAAATTTCAATGAAGCTATGCGCATAAAGAAAATTTCTAATAACTCTAATGAGTGTAAGCTTTTGACCAACAAGCTTCTCATTCTTATCATTCATTTTTACACACCCCACAATTCTAATTTAATTTTTCAATTGGAAAATCTTCATCAAAAACGGCCGTCGTCAGGCTTCCGCTCTTCTTCATCTACCATCTGCATCTTGTATTACGTATGCTTTCTTCAAATAAATAATTTTTTTTTTGCATTCTCTTCCTTTCATCTCCTTCTCGTCTTGGTCTTCAGCTTCTGTTTCCTCTTCCTCGCTTACTCTCTTCTAAACCAGCTTCTTGAAATATATTTTTTATTTTTTATCCCAAAATCCATGTTTGATGTCATAAGCTGACAACAAGTTTTAAGAAAATCTGCAATTTGACGAGTCGCTTTCATGAATTTTCAAAAATTACCTGCATAAACGACAAACACGAACGCCATTCATTCAGCTTCTTCTGGTCATTTCTCTTGTTTATCTCACTGTCACCCTCATTTTCTTTCTCGTTCTGACAATGATTCTCTTTTTATATCCACAAAGGAAAATGCAAAACACACATTGTAGACAAGAGGTTGTGATGTGTGTGTGTGTGTCTTGATCGTCTTCGTCCTCTGCTTTTCTAATTGGACAATTTCAATGAAAAATTAAAATAGTAAAATCAATTGATTGCAGTCTTAACCACTGAGGGTGTCTGAGAGAGATAGAGGTAGAGAGAGAGAGAGAGAGATAGAAAGCGATTTCTTCGAAATTTTGAAATATTTCGAGAAATTTGATAAAGATTTTGAAAGTTCAACACTCCTTCTAATGGGTTTTCCATTAAAATATTTAAATTACAAAGAGCATTTTACTTATTTGGAAGAGAGAGATTGATGACGATGAAGCATGTTGTGTATGGCATGGCATGCTGTTTAAGGTAGAGCTTTTCCTTTTATTGCTTTTTTCTTAAGTTTCAACTAAAGAGAGAGAAAGAGAGGATAAAAGAGAGAGAGAGATAGAGAGAAAGAGAAAAATAAAGAGAGAGAGAAGGAGAACTTCTGTACAATAGTAAGCTCATGCGAATGAGAAAGCAGTGTGATGAATGGGAAGGTATGAGAGAGTAGCAGAGAAGCGGAAGAAGCTAAGAGGTGAAATATGACGAAGAATGAAGAAGTGGATGCGATTGCTTCTGATGATGATATGAATCATCATTTTCTTTTGATTTAAGACACAATTGAGCCAAAACAATGGCGGAAACATTGATATCTCAGGAGAAAGAAATATTTTGTTTATTTCCTCCTTCTTTGGCCATTCCATTTTGCTTTGGAAAACATAAATGTAAAGTTTACTTTTAAGGAGAATAATCAATATCATGTTATTCATTAAATTTTCTTCTTTTTTTTTGGTTTTTTTCTTCATTTCTGAGAAAAAGCAGAACACACACGAAGATCGGAAGAACACGGAAAAGAGAAGATGGAATTAACAAGGTCATCACAAGGAATAACAGATGCCTATAAGCTCTCATTGGAATCGCTAGCACCGAAAATCCTTATTTGGACAATTTGCTTTCTTTTTCTTTTTTTTTCCTTTTTTGATCTCATTTCAATTTTTTTCTTTGTTGAACAACATTCAGCTTTTCGATTATTTTTGTTCCTTCAACTCTTTTTGTCTTTTTTCCCTTCTCGTTTCTGTCCTCGTTAAGAGAGAGAGAGAGAGAAAAAGAAATGGTCGACCCGGCTCGGCACACGGCTATGATGACGACAACGAAAGGATGATTTCAGATGACGATGACGAGTTTGGCGTACTGACGACATCGTCCTCACACACTGGCGTACATGCGCGTACACAGACAGACACATACACAGACACATACACACATACACACATACACACACACGCAAGAATATGATGTAGTTGGTGGCTGATGATGTGGATGATGTGAAAAGGATGATCGTCGATGTAATGACGAGGAAGAATATGACCTCTATGGATATGTAAACGCTCCTCATGTGTTTGAAGCTGCTTGTCTTCCGCATTCATATCAATTCAGCTGAAGGAATTTATTTTTAAAATAAAATTCAAATCAAATTTCTCATTCATATCTTGTCCATTTAAGGATGTTTTCAATCAGAGATGTCTTTTTTCATTTCTCTAAGTGCAGTGTCTTTTCATTACTTTGCTCAAACATATTGAACTGTGTACGAACTGTTCTTTCAGCATATCTGCATTTCAAGAAATTCTTTTGTAATATGCTCTTTGAATGTTGACAAGTTAGATTTTCTTGCTTCCTCCTTCATATTCTCTTGTTAAACTTCATTTGCATTTATCATGCTTTCTTTTTTCAATTTTTTATTTTTCTCATGCATATCTCTTTCAATCTTTCAATCTCTCCATATGTACCTCAACTGATTCATCTTCTATTCCTCTCTCACTCTTCATAGCCATTCAGTAGCTCCAGCTGAAAGCTCATTTTCATCAACAAAAAGAAAAAAGGAAAAATCAAACTTTTCATATTATCTTCAATTAAGTATGAACAATCTAATTAGTTATTAGATTGATTTGTTGAATTTTCAAACTAAACACGATGCCATTTCCTTATAAATTAACTATTTCATTGAAGTTTTCAGGTCTCTTCTATCATAGCTCATATGATGTTCTTAAGTATTCACTCAATTCAAAATTCTTTCAGAATTGCTAAGAGATCGGATCAGAACGATTGAGAAGCCTTTTTTATTTAAATTTATTAAAATCTAGTTCCTGCCTATTGCGGAGCGAGAAGAGCGCTAAGAAATTTTGTCGTCGTCGCCTTCTTCTTTTTCCTTTTTCAGTCCAGGACGAACATCAACGAGATCATAACCTCTCTTCAACCTTTCATATAGACGTTTTACATACTTACATTTTGCACCCTTTACCCTTTTCCTATCTTTTTTTTTATTCGCACTCACCACTTTACTCCCTCTATTTCTCTCTTAGTTCAACTTTTCATCTTTCTCTTACTCTCTCTATATCACTCTCTCTCTCTATTGCTTATAAATACCGAGAGTAAACGATATAGGTAGAGATTGTTGAATTTTCGTCTTTATTCTCACGAAAAAGGTAGGAAGAGTTTCCTCCTTTCGCTTCATGGGAGGAAAGAGAAGTTTTACCTCCCTCCTTCCTATTATGCATGGAGGTAGAAATTTTCCTTCCTTCTAGGAAGGAAACTTCAATCTTAAAAAAAAATGAGGGAAAAGAAAAGATTTCATTCTCTCTCTCTCTCTATCTTTCTCTCTTTCTCTCTCTCTTTGGAGCATTTTTTGTTTTATAAAAATTAAACCTCATAAATCTAATTATACAGAAGGAAGTTCGTTGAACATGTCCTTTCTTTGTAGCTTTAATTGCCATTCTTCCGTTCATCTGCACGTCGTCGTCGCACAAGCATGAGAATAGTATGCAGACGTTGACGACGAAGATGAAGGCATAAACGAAGGCGAAGAAAAAAGAAAAATTTTTTGTTTTACCCACTTTTTTCCATTTAATATTTATTTTTCCTAAATTCTCATATTTATCATCAGTTGGCCCTTAGGCTATCTTCTTAGATCGTCACGTCGGGTTTTTTTTTCATTTTTTTTTTGCTTCACCGCCCTCTTCCATACTTCCCCTCCTCTGTGTTCCATATAAAGAGATGGCCTTATATGACTGAAGTCTTTCAATTGGAACTGATGAATATGGGCTTTTTTTCACAAAAAAATATTTTTCTTTTCTCACCTCATGCTCTCATACCCTTCTCCAGTCTCTCTTGTGCTCTCTTCGCACTCATTCGTCTCTACCATCCTTGTGTAGCATTTCCATTCTGACTTCCTAAAATCTTTTAATATATTGACCTTATACATTTATATTAATATGCTAATTCTTAATGACATCATGCATCATGCTCTCTCTCTTTCTCATTCTTTGAATTTACCTGAAAAAGGGAAAAAACTTATTCGAATAAATCCTCTACATGCTTCCATATAAAGACATACCCAATTATCTCAGCACTGCCACATACATCATACGTCTCAAGCATTCTTACAACACGAATTATCAGCACGTTTTTCATTTTTTTTCCTACTTTTTCAACGTTCCCTTAATTCCCTTCAATTACATCCATCATCTGACAAGTAAAATCTGTTGCTTTCTGAACTTCTGCTCCCTACTCTCTACCTCACTTTCTCTCTCTTTCTCTCTCTCTTTCTGTTACTCCTTCTCTTCTCCTCCTCCTCCTCCTCCCCCTACTACAACAACGACAACTTTTCAATGTTTTTTTATTTTTTCATTAAAAATCAATTTTTTGGTTACTTTAATAAATATTTCCACAAACAACCATCATATGGTGGAAGTTGCAGAAAGAGTTCGTTCACTTCTCCTCCCCATCTATTAGCCTCTGATAAGTTTAAAAATCAAGAAACGTCTATGTTTTTCTTGTTTCAAACTTCCTTCTCTCTCTATCATTCTCTCTCTCTCTCTTACTTCTTTTCTTCTACCTCTCAATTTCGTCTTACACAGGTGTATTATCTCATTCGAACTTTCCCTCCTTCCAGCTCTATACAACTCTCTCATTCTCTCTCTCTCTATATCTCTTTTTCTCTCTTCGTATCAAAAAACGTCTTTAATTCATTTAATGTTACAGATGATTTACAATGCGACTTGTTTAAGTCAAGCTCAAGATGTTGATGATCTACGTATGATTCTGATAGTAATTCTAGGATCGTCAGTATCTCTCTTAGGTGAGTTCATCTCATTTGCATACATCTGATGTTTCAACCATAACGTTTGCACACGTTATGCACGTGAAAACATTCCACGTGGAAATATGCTATATGCAATGAGCATTTTCACGCGAATACGCGTGCGACCGCTTAATGAGATGGAAAAAAAAAAGAAAAAAAAATTTTTTTGGGCTATTCACCCCGTTCCTCTCTACCTTCCAATCTACCAGCCTCATTTTGAACTACATAAGCGAAACTAATCGGTTGTTACATTATAATCAATTTAAACAAAATTAAGATAATAAAAAAAATGAAAATATAATAATATAATTATTTCGTAGGCGTCGTTCTAAATACGTTTCTGCTACTCTCATTTTCTCGACTTCCGGTATTCCATTCAAATCTACTGTATCTGTTTCTGCTGGCTATATGCGATATTCTAGTTGAAATTTGCTTTGTGGTAAGTTTATTAATTAACTATTCATCATATACATATAACACTAACTTATAATTATAGTTAATATTTGTTTGTTCACTTTTATGGGATTTCTATCAAATCTATCCTTTATATGTTATATGGCATTACTATATACGTATAGTATCAACAGCTGGTCAGGTATGTAATGCATACATCTCAAACCTCATAGATTTTATAACAAAAAAACCTAATTAATCATAATATTTATAGTTAAAATAATAGTACTTTCATGCTAATTATCATTTCTGCAGGTACTTATTGCATCATCAACACTCTTGATTGTGGCAGCTTCATTTGAACGATACTTCTGCTCATTAAAAGGATGTTTGGGATTTTCGGATCGCCAACGTGTCTTAGCTGTTATTGTTGTCTTTCTATCAGCTTTAATTATGAAAGTCAGTTTATTCATCGGAACGTCTTCATCATCATCATTCGTACAGGGAACTGTCTTCGTTGAATTGGAATTGGAATATCATCCAGAATGTCCTCCGTTTGCAGATCTACAACTTGCTCAATCGTCAATTACCAAAATGTTTTGAACAATTTTCATTTTTGAATACTCATTTGTGCTCATCTTCAGAGATAGCTATCGTCTCATATGGATGTTCTGGGGAAGAAGCATACTGACAGTCATTGTACCTTTCAAGCTTCTGCTCTTTCTGAACGCAGCTACAATCTCAAATCTCAATAAGACATCAAGAGACTTCGAAAGTGTCCTTGTAGAGGTATGTTCTGAACACGTTTTCATTAACTTCTCCCTCTCCTCAATCCGCTTATACTTGTTGTGTATTGTTGCAAATGAATTGAATTGAAGTACAAATCATTGCTTTCTTGGAGCAGATGACCTTTTTTTAAGCAAAAATAACAATTTCCTTTGAAAACTAATCATTCTTTTATCTTAGTCTATAGCTTTCCTATCTGTCCCCGTATTATTCACCTCCTACGCCGCCATCTCATTGGCATTGGTAAGAAAAATAAAACAAAACTGAAAGAACCTTTTAGAGAAAGCGCATCGTTCTCTTTCTCTGCCTCTCTCTATCGTTATCATACAAATGATATGTTTACTATCTATTTTCTATCTCTGTCAACTTGTTATCCTTCCTAGAGCATAATCTGCATCTATTGTTTCTTTCCTGTCTACTTTATTCTAATTTCTTCATACTTTCCTTTCTCTCTCTCTCTCTCTGTCTCTTTCTCTATCTGTCTAACTAACCCTCTCTCTCTCTCTCTCTGTATGCTGAAACTGAATAAGAGTTCATTCAGATGTGCACCGGAAATATAGTTCGGGTAAGGTTATTAGTTAAAGCATGATCATATATCCCAATAACTTATATGTAAAGCTTAATAGGTAAAAGGCAAATATCAATGCATGATCACATCTAATATTAACACCAAATATACATTATAAATTAGTTTTCTTAAGTTGTTTAGTATGAGAAAGAAATTGAATAATTTAAGTCAATTACATGAATGAATCAGTTAAAAAATCACTAAAGCACCATTTTATATGTTTTTATAATCATTTTTGTCATTTACAGCAAATGCCATCATTACTTCGTGCAAACAACGAAGCTTCATCTGCACGACGACGTAAGCGTGATGCTACACGCACGTTAACAGCCATCGTCTCTATCTATTTGATAACTAATTTTATAAATATTATTATAACAATATTTGAATTCGTTGACAGTGGTCTGCTGGAAATCGGTGGTGGATGGGCCTATCGGTGAGTAGAGAGATAGCATAGCGCATTAGATATGAGAGAGTACTAGAGAAAATGAAAAAAAAATATTTTTTTTTCGTTTTCAACTTTTTTTTTTTTTTATAAAAATTAATTAATTTTTCTTTTCTCTTTGCAGTTATTTGTCAGATTTATCGTCGTTGCTCACAATATCATCTACAGCTGTACGTCTTCCTGTGTATTTTCATTGTAATCAAGACATGCGAGAGCAAATTCGTCAAAATGCAAGAGCTTGTTTTACGAAAGAACCTCTCAAAGATGTTGGAGAAGCTATATAACTTTTATAAGTTTTTGGTCAGAAAAAAGAAATTACCATTTCAGAGTAATATTCTAACGGGTTTTCTCCTTTCTATCTCTCTCTCTCTCTCTCTCTTGCTCTCCTCTTTCCATTCCAACACGCTCATTATGTCCCTCTGGTCTTTTCTGTTACGCTCCTGTCTCTCTGTACATATATCTCACTCTCTGTATATATCTCTCTTTATTTCTTTCCCTCTATCGCGCGTACTTCCTTAAAACTCTGAACTTCGGTTTTTCCTATGCGAAAAGAAGTTTCAGATTATCTTTCACCTCTCTTTCCTACTTTCTCTCTCCCCTACAACCATGTCATTCTCCCACAATCTTTCTCTCCAATTTTTTGCTTTTTTAATCTCCCAAGCTTTATCCGGAATCTCATTTGCATAATTTTTTTCAATTTTCATTTTTTTTTCAGCAATAAAATGATATTTATGAACTAATTGATGTTGTTGCATGTCTTCTCCCCCTTATCATCATCTTATACATCAGGAATATGTTTGTTTCATTGTTTTCTTTTTTTTATTTTAAATATATATTTATCTAAGAAAGTTTATGAATAAACTTGTATGAAGTATAGTCTTATACTGATGAAAGATAACATTGGAATGGGAGAAAAGACAATTTTGATTCGCATGTGCTCTCA